CTCCCAACCCCCCTCTCCATCCCCCAAAAAGAAAACCCCAAACACTGTTAATTAAGACTCAGACAATATGATTAAGATGCATCTGAATATGTCATGGAGGTAGAAGTGTACTATGTTGTTCGGACTTCTCAAAAATATTACTAGGGGTATGTTTATTGTATTTTTTGAAGATGCTGACGCATTTGTAATGATATTATTGAATAGGCCGAGCAAAGTGTCTTATTTGCTATATTAGCTTTTGATTTTATTTTCGTATTTTCCCTTATTAAGTGCATGATAGAAACTAAGGGTCCACCAAACTATATAGAGAACCAGGTTCTCTATTAGTTCCCTCAGAACACACACACAACAGTAAGTAAATAACACAATAGAGTTTTACGTGGAAAATTTCAGCTCACGGGATTAAAAATCACGACCTACACTCGTAGGATTTCAACTTCACTACTCAGCAAACTTCAGATTACAAACTATTGTAACCTAGGAATTAACCTCTTAATCTCTCACTAACTTGTAATAACTCTATTACAAGCCCCCTTTGTAATAACCCTATTACAAAGCTTACAACTCGACTAACTCTAGCCAAGACACAAACACAAGGTTTATGATTTTACAAAAGATTTTCTACACAATGCTTCTAACTAAACTAAGTAGGAATTACAAGTAAATCACTTTAACAAAGGTATAACACAATTAAGGACATATAATGACTTAATGCAGGAAACAGGTCATTCGTTATGTTGCTCTTTGTTCTTGACGCCTTGAATGTCACTTGTAAGTTGGCAACACACTTGAGAGGAAGCTTGATGAATTCTGCAATGTGCAAGTGTGATGTTTTGCACGTGCTTCATGTTAATATTACATAAGTGACATCATTTGAATGATGTAAGCATGTTTGGTGCAAGGGCATTCCCCAAAAAGTGACTGCTCCACTATTTGCAATGTTTTGTGTGTGCAGAGGAACAATTGCAGCCACTTTACAGCTGTGGGGAGTTGACTGGTACTGTCAGCAAGGGAACTGATGTCGATCTGTTCCCTTTGTTATTTCTTGGACTCTGAATGTTGAAACATGTCCCAAATTTGAGACTTGTTGATCTTGAGCACTTTGAGGATGTTGAGCAGATTTCCCATCTGGTTCTTAACATTAAGTTTGTTAGATCATCAAAACATAACATGTCAATTTTTCCTTTTTTGATGATGACAAACTTGTAATTGAAATCCCCCCTAAGAACCAGAGTACCATAAATAGCACCAATTTTTTTTTTGTATTCCCCCTGAACCTGTTTCTTCCTCTGTTCTCCCTCAATTACTTTTCCCCCTTTTGGCATCATAAAAAGATTAGTAACAAGTAATAAGCAAAAAGAAGTCTAGCAAGCTTAACTCATGCCACATGTGTGTATACAAACATGACTAAAGACAGAGCAGAAGAGCAAAGCATGCATAGCAAAAGGACGGGATATTCATTAACTTTGGAAATAAACAGGGAGCAGTGCCATTTGTTACATAATCATCTACAAAATAAAACAACAATAAAAAAATACCAGCCACTAAACATATCCACACAAGGAGACCAAAATAGAGGACAAACAACTTGAACTTGACACTCGGAAATGAATGATTTTAAGGAGTACTGGAAGGGGGAGGCAGAGATGAAGAGGCAAGAGTTCTAAGAAGTATATCCATTCGAGCATTTGCGGACCCTTGCTCAGTGAGTAACCTCTTCGTCAGGTCCTCAACCTGTTTCCTGAGATCAGCATTCTCCTTGGTCAGACGGGCAACCTCTGCGCCTTGTGTGCTGCTGGAACCAGGTGTCTCCTGGTCCTGACTAAGCTGTCCCTCAAGAATATCATTTCGTGCCTTCAACTTTCTTATCTCTTCATTGGCAATGTTCTGAGCTTCAATCAGTTGAGAGATAGTGGAATTACTGTCAACCCCTCCTTTCTTATCGATGCACTTACACTCTTCTAAGGTGGTCTTAGAGAAGGTCTGCTTGTGAGTACCCATTGCATCCTTTCCCAAAGGGACTTTGAAGAACTCAAATACTTTGGTGAGTAAAAACCTGTAGGGCAGCCCATGATTACCATCTTTGAAATCTGCCACCTTCTTCATTTGCTCAATCATGATACCCGGCAGATCGATAGTGGAGTATGCATTGAGTGCTTCCATGAGGAACATGTCTGCTCGTGATGTAATGGAACGCCTTTCTACACGAGGGAGAAATACCTTATTCACCATCTTGAATAACAACTGGTACACTAGAAGGAGGGCCTTTTTGTGTACCCGTTCCCCCTGTTGTACTGCATCATCCTTCAAAATGGCATTTCTAAAGTTTGAAGAACAAGTCCCCTTAATGAAGGATATTCCGTCAGTAGGCACTCCCAAGATGGTTCCCAACACAGCCTCATCCATCACAAAGTCAACACCATTCACCTTCATGCAAATGCTGTCATCCTCGACTGTGAAAAAGTCGGCATAGAAACTGCGCACCTCTGCCTCATACACCTTAGGACTCTCATTTGTGAACAAATATGTCCACTGTTTAAAGTCACAGATATCAACCAGTTGGCACATTCCTATCATGTCAAGAATATCAGGGGCAAATGTTCTGCCTCACAACACCTTCTGGTTTCTTAGATTTTCCCTTCCTTCATTCTTGGCCACACCCACATTGGCCTTCTTGGAGGAATTCGGTTCCTTATTAGCACTAGCTTTTCGTTTTACTGATTTTCTCACACTTTTCTCTTTCTCTGTAGATTTCTCAGACACCTTCTCAGACACAGATTTCTCAGACACTTTCTCACCAGACTCCTCAGCCACTTCCTCGCCACACTCTCCCACTTCAACGTTGCTAACCTCCATCACTCTCATAGATGACTCTTTCCCAGATTTTTGAACAATAGGTTTCTTAGAGGACTCACGAATTAAGGGACTGAGTTCCTCATCCACCTCGTCATTAACATCAACAACAAGTGTTGTAGGCACTACTTATTCATGTACTAACTTTCCACCCTTCACAAACCTTCTCATCTTCTTTTCTTTCTTACTTTTCTTCAGAGCTGACTCAAGAGCTTCCTTCTTTTGCAGCCTAGTAGTAGGTCTTTTAGGAGTGGGCGTTTTAGGAGTTGCTCTTCTAATCCTAGCACTAATAAAACTGGCAAGAGCCACATTGTCATAGTCTTCTTCACTACCCTCATTCTCTTCCTCAGACAGAGATCTCATCTCAGGAGCGACAATGGTCAATGGCTCAGCATAGAAATGACGAGAGGGAGCGGGATCAGTACTAACCTGGGGTTGTTTTGAAGAACAGAGGGTTTCATCCCAAGTAGGAGAAGAGGGCTCCTCTTGGGCGGAGGGATCAGGTCCCTCATGTGGTTCCCTAGTAGTACTTTCAAGTGCCAGATTTTCGACAGGCACCAGTTCCCTACCCTCTTCCTGTAGACTATCACCTTCCCCCTGAGACCCACTGGTTTTATACACACCTTTATAACCACCAACCAAACATCCCTAAGAAGCTATTGACAATATATTCTCTATGGTCTCTTATTCTTTTAACCCCAAAGTAAACTCAGAAGGAACAAGAAGAATATTACCTATAGAATCGACAACATTCAAATCGAGACCTAGGGTAGTCATTGCTGATTCGTCATCAGTATGAACCACACCTTGTTGTGCCTTAGAACTCTCTTCCAAATGCAAACTGGATATTTCCTGATTTTCTTCTCCCTCTACTGTTTCTCCCTCAGCTATGTTTTCCGACGAGGCAAAAGGAGAGGTCGTAGCCACAAACCTCTTGGGATTCAAAGTTTTACAACTCCGATGATTTGGGTTGGAGAAGAGACAGTGGGTGGTTGGGAATCTTACTTAGGGTTTGTACTGGGTGGCGTAGGGTACTTAGACTATATCACTGGTGTTTCAAGAGATGAAGACAGAATGGGGACGATACTGGGGACATTTGAGGCTTCAAGATTCTCAGACATTATGGAGTATAGTGAGAGTTTATAGAAGAAGAGAGTGTTTGGTTGTTGAGAGAAAAGGGACATTTTGGATTTTGATATGAATAGTTGTGAGAGTGACAACGTTTGGGTTTATTTAAAGGGGGTGAGGGACGACTTTGGAATAGGTATTGATTTTCTGGGTAGATGGATCGGTTCGTAACGGGTAGGACGCTTGGGTTCTAAAAAGGGAAAAAGGAGAAACTGACATTTTAATGACGTGTCACCTTTTTAGCCGTTTAAAAATTTATGCATGAGAGTACAAAGGAACTACTAACCTG